TTCTATAACTCATTTTTGTTTGCTAAAGTGTAAAATAAGCAATCAGTCAATAATACAAATATAAAAATATAAAATGATAGTTTATGGAAATCAATACAAATATGAAAATATAAAATGATAGTTTATGGAAATCAGTACAGAGGTTTTTTTTTTTTTTTCCACAAAGCTAACTAAACACAGAGCCCTCATATGACTCAACTGTCTCACTCCTGAGCATGTGCCTATAGGATTCTATATATTATTACACAAGTACCTGTTCATCCATATAAGGAGAGTAGATACCAGGAAGCTAGGACGGTGCCCATGAGCAGGGGGTCAAAAGAGATTTTGGGATGAAGGATGGGCAGGGTAACAGAGATGTGATATGAAAGTGAAATGGGACATGCTGAGACAGAAGGGTGCAGCCTGGGATCAGGGACAAGGAGATGGGGTGGGGAGACAGTTAACCAAAACCAAGTATATATAAAAATGTCATAAGGAAAACAGCTACTTTAAAATTCTTAAAAAGTAATGTTAGGTGCTGGAGAGATGGCTCAGTGATTAAAAGCACTGGCTGCTTTTGCAGAGGACCTGGGTTTAAATCCCAGAATCTACATGGGAGCTAACAACCATCAGTAACTCCAGTGCCTGGGGATCTGACACATGCTTCTGACCTCCACAGGCATTGCATGACACAGATGTACTTGCATACATACATACATACATACATACATACATACATGCAGGCAATATGCTCATAAGCACAAAATAAAAATAATAAAATAGTTTTTTAAAGTAACTTTAGAATTGAAATATGTATACTTAAAATGTTAAAAAAAAAACCACCAAAAATTTCTTATTTTCTTGTTGGAAAAAGAAGACATTTATGAGATGGTTCAACATTATGTTGTCTGAAGTTCCAGGTTTCCTAAAGGCATCAGATGCTATGGGTTTCTGGGGTTTTGTTTTGTTGGTTGGTTTTCACTTTAAAACTGTGTTCTTCAAACAGAACTGGAAGTGAATCTGTGGACCTCGGCTCTCCCCAGGTTATATTATCTAAATATGCCCTTCCTCCTCTCAGTGCATTCACTGGCTGATTTGTATCCCCTGGATACTTGTTACCCAACTGAACAATTATCTTAGTCATAAATAATCTCTACGTGTCCACCTGTTTACGTCTGCCACATATTAGAGTAAAACATAGACAAGCAAAAGTTTGGAGTCCCTGTGCTCTTTTGGCTTCAAACTCATAATGAAGGAAAGATTTCTGTCCATATATGGTGCTGGATAAATATAAACAGAGCAAAGAATAAAAAAAATAGCCATACATTCCAACATGGAATGCACTAGTTACAAAAGATCACATGAAGATTGAAGAGAACAATCTGACCTCTTCTAGATAAGTGTACTACAACGGATCATATTTAGAGAATTTATGCTTCAGGAAAGAAAGTGATCATTAAAAAGGCATAACCACAAGTATTAGGTGCATCAACCCAGGTGACTCAGAAGGTTCAGGTAGGAGGATCCTGAATTTTAAACCAGCATGTGCTACATAAATAGATTCAGTGTCAAAAATATCAAAACAAAGAAAATGGAAAAAAAATATTTTTTAAAGGTATATCAAAAAGTCATGTACCCAAGGAATTCTTTTACAGTTCGTGGTAATTCCTACTTTGCTACTATCATTGGAATACAGAAAAATAAGTCTCTGCAACTGAAAGATTAACTATTACCACTATCAACAGAGAACATTTAAAATAGAGTTCCTAAGAACCACAATTATGACATTTTAAAATTTGCCTTTCTCTTCTATTCCAGATATTAGATACATCTTCTCATTAAGTTTCACTCTTCTAACTTTGCAATCCTTTTGTTGTACTGTTGCCCAGTTTTCCTTTCTTTATTTTTAAACCAATTTTCCCTTTTAATAGTACAGACAAAAATAAAGTGGATGGAAAAGTTCCCAAATTATATATTTAAGTGTCTTATTTGCCATTTATTTAATGCTTAGACAGCATCTTGATTATTTAGTGTGTGCAAGGCATTGTGCTGATCTAAGGAGAAACAGGCTGTGCCTGTAACAGCACATTCTACTGTGAAGTGGAAAGACAAACAAAACACGTCCTACGTCCCACTCACAGTGTGATGAATGGACTTAAGTACCAAGTACTAGGAATTCCAATGAGAACTCATTCCCAGTCCTGGCTATTTGAAGAAACATTTACAAAGGAATCACTACTATTTCAACAAAATATTAATGAAGAACAAGAATTCTAACACTGGGGAGGAGAGGAAAGGGTGTCACAGAAAGGGGAAAGAACATGTCTCATGAAGCAAGAAAACCTACTCAATGGGGACCACATCTTTGAAAAGAAGGAAAAAGGGGGACGGGTAACTCCTGCAGCACCCTTAGCCAGAATCTTTCATATTGATTCCTGACGAAGTTGAGCCCTATAGAGATTGAACTATCTGTTCAATATTATAAAGCAGTGTGTACACGTAAATTTGAAGGTTCCTAATGAAACTTAAGGATATTTTTAAGATTATGCAAATGATAATTAGATAAAATATTTATTGTTCAACAAGTGCCAGTACTAATTTTTCTGAATTATTTTGTTAATAATTTAATTTCTGTGTTCATAGACTATAACATAAACTCTCTTGTCCCCCCCAAAAACAAGTGTCATTATCCCCATTAATAAAAGCGATGAATTTTTTCTGATATTCAGTTTCAAATTACTAATAATTTAATATTTTAAAGAAGAATGTAAAATAATTTAAAGCAGTTTCTAATCATTTTGTTCATTAGATTTTTAATATATTATTATTATGATTCTTACATTAAATGCCTCCTGTTCATGGAGGCTACTCAAAATTGCATGTCCAAATGAAAGTGGTAAAACTCAGCACATACATTATAATCATAACTTAAAACACCCCAGGAAGATGAATTTTAGAATAATGTTTCTCTACATAAAGGACATCTCTAATGCCACGTAGCCTATCTTGAAACATCGGCTATAAAAAACAGTATCTTGTATTAAGATTAATTCATGACCTGTAAATCTTCCCTTTTTATCTGTCCCTTAAATTTAATTAAAATGCAGTTATAAGAACAGTGAGCCATGCTTTAACTCTCCTGCAATGAATATCACAGAGGAAGAACTTCAGTTGACCTCCCTCTATCAAATCACTTTGTGAACTCCTGCAAGTACTTTTCATATGTGTTGCCAGAGGATTGAGATTTTGTCTTAATGACATTATTACTAAGAATGCATGACTGTTCATTGGTTAATGACTTCTGAAATGATTGTGTTTAGTCTGTGTATTTAAAAAAAAAAGACAGATAAACCCAGCAGAAAAGAACATGTAGTGTGTGTCTGTACTGTTCGCTCTAATATGCAATGTTTGTCCATATGGCTCACTTCAGAGCTCTTGAACTTCACCTTTGGATGTGTACACTGCTTACTGCAGACACACTCCTCCATATTTATAAAATTTAGCATTTTTCCAGAATTACATCGATACTTTCTTGATCACCTGGTTAGTCTATTTAGGGGAAAGTCACTCTCATTTTGATAATAATTTGATTTTGTTTTCATCAAATGGTCTATGTGTATGTACTGAAATTTCTGTCAAGAATTGTTCTAGACAGTGGGATTATTTTTCCTTGAGACAGGATCCCATTCTATAATTCAGGTTATCCTAGAACTAACTTGATAACCCAGACTGGCCTCAAACCCATGAATCAACACATAGCTTGCCACTGCTGGTATCACAAGCATGAGTTACCACTCCCAACTAATATTTGGCTTGATAATAATTCTCCTTCTGACACTAACAAAATGTATTTTGATGTTCTGACAAGATATAGAGCAAACTTTTCTTATAGTCAATGTAATAGCTTTGGGCCCACAATAAGGGTTGAAATATGTGTATATGTGCATCTACTAACAGTTAGAAAGCATTTACTAGAAGGATGAAAATAAAAGACATTAAATATTTAGGTTAAATTTAAGGAAACCATAAAATTTAAAATGATTGTCGAATTGAATACTACTGGAAAATTATATTAACATACTGTCTGCTTTATCCCTGGTAAGTAGACTTTCCATAATTTGATAAATGTTAACTCCTCTGAAGAATATTACTCTTTATTCTCTGATTTTGAAAACAGAATAAATATAGATATTTGTTCCATATTCCTTGGTTTAAGATATTGATAGAGAGATCAGTATGGACATGAGAGATGACAGATAGATGGAAAGATAGATAATGAAAGGTAGAGAGATGATGATAGATACATAGACAGATACATTGATGATAGATTAGATAGATGATAGATAGATAAATAGATGATAGATAGACAGACAGATAAACCTTACCTAGACATATATTTCTTGATCTGCTATGTCTAATTTTCCAGTAGGTTGTAGGAGTAATATGTTTCTCTCTGGTTTTCAAAACTAGCTAGGCATTGTTTATCTCTCATATTGTCTCACCCCTCCATCATCATTTTCCCACTTAAGATGCCCCCAATTCCCCCCTTTCTCCCTTACTAATACCCTTCTCCTATGGTCCTACCTCTCTTGAGCTCCTTCTTTCCATTTATCCCCTAGGTTCCTTGTATACTCTTCCA